GAAGTTTGGAAACTTTAGAAGTAATAATTTGGGCAGTTTAAGAAAAATAGCAATCCTAAATATGTAATGTTTGCTTTGCATTTTTATTTCTCCCTTAATTCTTGGTTGGTTTGAATTTTTGTTCTCTTTCTATGTTTCTGTTTCATTGAGCAAAATAAGATCATTGCTATCATATTCTTATCAAACCAACATTGCACAAATGTAGAAGCTCCTGTTTTTTGAGTGTATGGCTGTTAAGCAAGGAAAAGATTGGTGCTAGAGATGTTGATGGCGGGGTTTTGTTATTAGAATAGGATTTTACTGGATGGTGACACTGATAATGGCTTGCAATTCTAAAGTAATTGGTAATTCTGCCACTCAATAAACCGTTATGTTCCTAAAAAGAATCACCACTGTGTGGTTGTTACTTGCAATAGTTATTATATTGGTCCTGATGTTTACTGCTGGTGGAAATATGTCACTGGTGTTTGTGGTTGATTGCTTATTGCCATTTGTATGGTGATGGTGGTGGTGGCAGCAATAGCAACTTATCTGCTTTTTTGCATTTTTACTAAATGTTGGGAAATGTATCAAATATATGCTTCTTGTTGCTCCCATATTAACCAATTTCAAACGATGTTTAGGTCTAAAAGTATTACCTAGTAATTCATGGCTTCCAACTATTTGCACATTCAGGACTGTGCACTCCAAGGTTAATAGCACTCCAACATTTGTATTCATTTTTTTAGGTATTTGATGGTCATGGTGGAAAACATGCTGCTGATTTTGCCTCCTGCCATTTGCCAAGGTTCATTATTGAGGATGAAGATTTTCCCGGAGAGATTGAGAAGGTTGTTGCTTCTGCATTTCTACAAACAGATACTGCTTTTGCAGAGGCTTGTGCTTTGGATGCTGCTCTTGCTTCAGGAACAACTGCTTTGGCAGCTCTTGTTGTTGGCAGGTTAGTTTTTTTCTTGCTTCTCTAGTTTTCTTTCCTTTCTTCTTGGATTGTTGTGAGGGAGGACAGTTGGGGATGGTTATTATAAGCTGTCTGCTTGGGAAATACATGAAAATCCAAAAATATGGTCCTGTTATTTACTTTTAGGTAATTTGTGCATTGTCCTTATTTCGGTCATGGGTCCCCTGATACAGTTCTTTGGGAATTGCATCTCAAGAAAAGTAGTTCTTGATGTTCGTGACTTCAAGTTTATATAAACCCTAACCAAGCTCTTAAACTTCTAGCATCGGTTCAGTTCCTATGCTTTGGAATTAGCACATAAGAATCTATCAAGTTCCTATCACTGGCATTCTTGGCTGAAACTTGCTGTCTTAACTAGTTTCTAGTAAATATTACTATTCCAGTATCATGATCACCACCCACACTGCACGAGTATACTTAAATGTATGATTTATGGCTCTCATTCTATTGATATGGGTCTTGGGTTTGTTACTCTAAAACTATGTCTTATATGAATATGATATTAAAATCTTATGCTCAATTTTTTTTTTTGGAGAGGTGAAAGAGAAGTAATCATATTAACAAGGCATCAAAAGGGCTGCATCCTAAGTACAAAAGAAGTTTTTATGATGAAAACAAAAATATCTATAGGATTCCCTAGACCCTTTTCAGAGGGAAGAGGATATCCATTAGATAAGAGAGACATAATACCATCAAAAATGTTTTTGTTCTTCTCTTTCCAGATAACCAAATGAGAGTCAATGGAATGAGTAAGGTAAACTCTTTCATGGACTTGCACTCAAACGCCATCCTGTGCCCATAATTCATCTGCAATTGAACCTTTGGTTGCATAGGACAAGACCAGAAAGGACAGAGATTAATCCCCTTACCTTTTAACCACTGCTTACCGGTTTGGGGATCATATACTTCTAAAAAGAGGTTCATACTCGTACCTGGCAATTAGCACAGACCATGCCCAAACTCACCGATTTGTCTTCCTCAGAATCTCCTCTGCTAAAGAAT